TTTTTTTATGGATGGGTGCTTTTTATTTCACTTCTTTGGGACTGAAGCACTGCAACACCCGCTGACTGCAATGGTAGAGCTTGAACAATTTTTAATATAACTTCAACTGGATTTGTCTGAAAGAAGAAAGTCATATACACCTAGGATGCCTCTGGGGTGAGTAAAACACAGCCTAATTTTCATTTTTGGGTGAACTAACCCTTTAAGCCTACTTTTCTGGTCTTACCTTCTTGAGTCTGAGGATTCCCTCCTGAGTCTGAGCATCAGTGACAATCTCAAAGATATCCCTCTCGTCTCCACCTATGATGCTGTAAGTTGATTTAGCATTTTGCCCGATGTCTCTGTCATTCGCTTTTACTCTTCCTCCAGGCTTCCCGATGCCAAGATCCTCAGGAATAGTGAACTCATAAGAGCCTTTAGAGATAAGGTACAAGAACGGAGAAGATCTGGTCTGTCAGGTGACAAATAGCACTCAGAGAAACGATATTTTAAAAAGAAATATAAATTTGGGTAAGACTTTACAATAAGGTTCCATTTGTTAACTATATTTAATGCATTGACTAACAATGAGCAATTTGTTACAGCATTTATTAATATTTGTTAACATTAGATAATAATAATACAGCTGTTCATTGTAAGTCCATGTTAGCTCAGGTCCATTAAAAAACATTAATAGATAGAACTTTTTTTTTTTTTTTTTAAATAATATATTAGTAGATGTTGAAATGAACATGAACTAATATTAATAAATACTTTGGAATTATTTTTCATTGCTAGTTTATGTTGACTAATATAGTTAACTAATGTTAATAAGTGGAACCTTATTGTAATGTGTTACCAACATGTTTGATAATGTAAATTGTCAATTTTGATTTATTAATGCATCCTTGCTGAATAAAAGTATTAATTTCTTTAAAAATAAATCTAACTGACCCCAAACTTCTGAACTGTAGCATAATTAATTTAATATAGTTAATAATAAAGGGTCTCTCTTACCCTTTGTGAACTTTGGTGGGTTATCGTTGATATCGGTTAGCGTGACTGTCACAGTGGTGGTTCCTGACAATCCGCCCATGTGACCCCCCATGTCTTTTGCTTGAATGACAACAAGATACTCTTCCCTCATCTCACGATCCATCCCTGCCAGAGCCACCCTAATGACTGCTATAACAAGAACAATAAATACAGTAATTGGCATATAACCAATTGATATTACAAAGAAAATAATGCATTAAAAAGAATCTCTCATTTAATTATTTTTGATATGAAAAATAAATACATAAGAATATGCTATATTTTCAAAATGAACATGGTCTATAGACAAACATTCCATTGTACATTCTGAGGTTTGCAGTTTGCAAAATCTGTTAGCTCTTCCCTTGTCCTTGACAGTGACACCCTGACCAGCTTAGTGTGTGTCACGCATTGCCTGTGCTGCTTTCATTTGGCATTGCAAATTCACTTGTTTGTTTGCTGAGGACTTGTCCCAGCACCTCGAGTCATTTATATTCCGACTGAATGTGAATTACGCTGCCTGTCTCTTATAATCTTTAATACTGTATGCACCATCATTGACTTTTTTTTTTTGTTTGTTTAGAATATATTACTAAATATTTCCTAAAAGCATCCAAAGCAATTTTTCCTATTTCTTGTATTTGTTTTGCACAGTTTCTTTGGCTGTAGATTGAGTTCCCCATCATTTAACACTATCCTTTCATCTTTACCCCAGACGTGTCGCCCAATTCACACTGCGATCATGATTTTTACCATTGTGGAGGCGATTCCCACTGCAATTTGCAAGCCTTATGATGTTATGGTGTGCGGGAAATCCTGGGAAATCACCATCATCCTGATGAAGTCACTTGGGGAACTGACAAAACATCTGAATAAATATGCTACGCGGTTTCTGTTTTTTTTTTTCTGTTTTTTTTTTACAATGATCTGAATGACTGAGAATCTTCATAGACCGTTAATCTTATACAATCAATCAGGTTTTTTTGTGAAAAAAAATAAAATAAACGGAAACGCTAAGAAGCAACTATGTTAAAGAGATTGGCAAATAATAGAAGAAAAGAACTAAGGAAACAAATGCATTCTACAGGAAGAAAGGTAAGTGTGTTGTAGGGCCAGCTCCGGTTCCATTACGCATGAATAATTCACAGCGTGCATGCATGCATTGTCTGCTAGACTTTTTTTTTTTTTGCTGCACTTACACGTGTTTGTTTCTTGTTCTGTCATGGAGACCAACAGACCACAATAATTTCAGTGAACTAAGGAGGTGCATTTTGAGAGGTGAAGTGCTCTGATTGTCAATAGGAATACGGAGATGCAGGCCACCCTGAGTGCTGGATGCAGCTGTGTGTGTGTGCCATATGCGGTTCAACACTGAATCTGATGCACACTGCAATACTCATTCAATTGTCATCCTGATTTATCATTATCTATTTAAATGAATTCCTGATGATCACAGAAGCAAGGCAACACAAACATTAATTTCCATAGGTATTTGGAGATTTACTTTCCTTTCATTTATTTATTTTTGCAAGCCATTAACCAAGTAATGAATTGGTGCATGATGTTTACTTATTTATCAAGTGTGTCTCATTTCCTACGAGGTGTTGGGTGTTTCAAATGGTTTCTAATGGTTGTTTTCCCTTTACCTCTTATTTTTCATTAGCATTCATTAAAACATCTGGCTCACTTGAATAAGCCATCTGCATGTGTTCAGCAATCACACAAACCACGCACGCGGCACCTCAATTTGGGCTTTCGCACCTTCTCTCGACCATTTGCATTCTTAGACAAAGCTGACAGTGAGTGATTGAAATGCATGGGGTTATGAAGTGCACAAGGTGTTCTCATAAGAAAACAAGTACTGATATTTAAAGTCTGTTCATTTATTATGCACATACAATTTGGACATATATAGGACTTGTTTATTGTCTGCTGTTTTTCCAAATTACGCACTGTTCATTTCCATCTCATTGCTTATTAATGTAAATTCACCATTATTTAATAATGTTGCTTACAGACACACTGTTAACAAGTCAGCTGAAAATGCAATTAGGGAAAAGAAACAAAGTCAAGGTTGAAAAGGAAGCAGAATGCAGATGGAATTCAAAGATAGCCCTGTCATTTAAATCAGAAGCCGCAAATTGCTTTGAACAGAACAAAATCAGCATCTGCATGTGTCCTTCAGGTAAAATTATCTTGTTTATTTGGTCTTTCTCTACTATTTATTTCCTGCGTCCAATAATGATGATCATAATAACAATGATTATAATAATAATACATGGTCTAACACCTAAAACTCGTCTTGGTACACGAAGGGACATTCATCTTACACCTATTTCTAGGCATAATAATAAGGTTGTTGAATCATTTGAATGATACATGACCATCTGGACAATGTGGATTGATTAACTTACCAGTGGTTTGGTCGATGGAGAAATAAGGTTGGCCCTCCAGAATGCTGTAGACCAGTCTGGCACTGTTTCCATACACTGGATCGTCCGCATCAGTTGCAGTTAGTCTTGTTACTGATGTACCTGTGGAGCAGAAGAGAAAACAATCATCTTCAATAAACAAAAATGACTTGCAATGAACAAATAGATCAATTATTTCCATTTACCGCACCACTGTTTCCACGTTCTGAACTTGTTTTCTTTGAGAACAAATATTTTGTTCTCTCCCTACCGATGTTTCAACAATACCTCTGGCCATGGTGTAAGAGCTTCTCTGGAATAAACTCATAAAAGTGTTTTTTTTTTTTTTGTTCAGATGTGCACAAGCGCTCGTTCACGCTGTGAGACTTCCACGATGAAAAAACAACACTGCTCCAGGCCTTAACAAGATCAAAACGAAGAAAGTCAGACAAACAAACAATCCATGCTGCTCTCCTAACCTCCTCTTCATTAACCCATGGCTTGGATGAATTGAGAAGAAAGAGGAAAAATTAGAAGCACAAAAATAGAGAGACACACAAAAGAGAGTGAGTGTGGGAGAGAAACTGAGACGCTAATGCTAAACAGCTCACTGACAGTGCAGATGGTGTGGTAATTGTTTGTAAAGCATGTTCCACAGCACTCTGACAGCTTGGTAAGCGTCTGACCAGAAACTGTGCCTGTGCTGCAGCTACAGGTATCTGGAGTTGTCGGAAACAGCATGAAAAACATTCACTGTGAGGGCTGGTTATGTGCACGGCTTGATTTAGGCCGAAGTGAAGGTGCATCACTACATCTCCCTGAAGCAACACATGTGAAGCCCTCACGACTCGACTCCACTGAGAAATATGAGGTACCAAGACTGTCCTTGAGAGATAGCGGCAAAAAAAAAAAAAAGCAAATGTTGAAAAATACTTAAGACTAGGGATTAAACGATTGGGATCGCACAATATGGATTTTTTGACGACAGATGTCGATGTCTTAGAGAGCCATTTGGACATACGATATCACACTATTACATTTAAGTATAGTACATAGCACATGCTGCAATTAATTACATAACATCTAAACATGAAAAATTAATTTCAAAATCAATTAGTATGAAAAAAAAAATGTACTTGATGGGAAAATAAACCTGCAAAATAAAAATATTTATACTTTAGATAGCAACTTGATTGTGTAGTCCTATATTATAGGATATTATTATTATTATTATTATTATTATTATCAACAAAAAATAAACATGTTAAAAACATGACTAAAAAGGAAGTAAACAAGGTAACCTACAGTAATCTGTTAAGTCTGTGTGCATTGGAAATCATATTTTCTCAAAAAATATATATATTTTACATACAATACACAGTGAATATGACATGAATATGTAATAGCAGCCCACTGGATATAGTGCATCATAGTTTGAAATCAAGGTCTTAAATATTGTCAATTCTCTCTGCATCCAATTTGCACAGATGGACTGTCATGCACAGAGTACACACGTTTTATGCAGGCTACAATGCACACTTCAGAAGATCAGAAAAACAGCTGGATTTGCAAGGTTTGTGAAATTGAATATTGACGCTATAAAGCTTTTTCACCGTTTATTTTTTTCCCCACTTTTCTGTTTAATAATGTAAACTAATGAAGGCTGATAATGGGATCCTGTCCCACCTCTGATGCTTATCAGCCAAACAGAAAACAAACAAACAAGTAAAACAAATAATAATAATAATAATAATAATTAAAAATAAAAAAAGTAAATAATTAAAGTTACACTATGTAACTTGTGGCGCTCTAGTGGTTAATAAACAAAAACACAGTTTAAAAGATGGATTCATGATGTACTCGCTCATTATATAAATTATGTACATTTTGAACAAAAAAAATTACATAGTTTACCTTTAAATAATTCATTAAACTATACCACAATATACCACCGATACTGATAAAATGATAAATATGTTCATGTTATGGATGATAATAACTGAAATAAAGACTCAAACTAAAATGAATACTTTTCATGCTACACGTGACAACTTCTACCAGTGGACAGAGATGTATGTGTGACAGAAAGTTTGTGTCAGACACATTAAGACCCAAATTTGATGAGGTGTCTGAGCTTTTCTCAATGACTGATGACTGTTAGTTTACGTCCTTGAGTGCGTACGTATGCGGATGATACGTGTGAAACATGACCAGGGAAATATGAACCATTCACCCCACAGGATATCTCTTACTTGACATGCACTACTTCCTTTCACTCAGCAGGATCTTGACATAGTGTACTGTGTTATCAAATGCTTTAATTACATTACCCATGAATGTCAGTGTTTGTGTTCTCAGAATGCATGTGTATGTAGATGGCACAATAGTCTCCTTATCGCAATCCCAAACGCTGCTAACAGTATATGATCTCTTTCTCTGTATGGCCCTGGGGAGGTACTCTATGGCTCCCTTTGCGTAAGACAGCTGATTCATGTTTAGATAAAAGCAATCCCTTTATCTTTATCTAGGACTGGAATATTTATCTTTATTTACTCAGTGTTTCCTCTCAAAGCTGCCTTAGCGGCAGAGAGATTCATAGAGACATTACTGTTGACTTGTGGAGCTCTGAAAGCTGCTTGATACCGCAGTTGTCTCTTCCTCTTGCTACTTTGTACCGGACAGCTGTTAAAAAACTCAAAGTAGGAACATCAAGCGTACCTTCCGAACAGGCACGTACAGTCTTTAATCTGTTTTACCACTATAGAGCGGCAGTGGCAGCCAGGGGCGGATTGGCCATCTGGCAATTCTGGCAAATGCCAGAGGGGCCGGACCATTTTGTTTAATGTGGGCCGGTCAGATTTTTTCTAAATATATATAAATAAAATAGTTTTTACGGGCCAACAGCTCATATGACGGGTTTTTATTGCTTGCATGATTTCTCTATGGTTATAATAAAAATAATGTTAATAATAAATAAATGTTAAGCATTTGGCCCAGTCGGCAACGGCTGGCCGCCTGGTCCCGAGATGGGCCGACTGAACCGTTCAGTCAAAATCAAGCACGTCATCAGAGAGATTGCAACAGCCTGGTCCCGAGATGGGCCGACCGAACCGTTCAGTCAAAATCAAGCACGTCATCAGAGAGATTGCAACACGAGCTAATTTTCAGTAAAAGCTAGATAATGGACCGTAAAAAAGGAAAGGCGGTGCAGAAAAACTTTGAGAAAAAAAAGGGCTTAAGTCCGACGCTGCTAAATGTGTAAAATGAACCAAACTCTTTTCAAAAGGTTTAAATTCGGCTGCTGCAGCGGAGCACAGTTAGTGCAGCAGAGGTAAGAAGAAAACAGAAAATACAGCTAGCACAAGTCATTTTCACACTACTTCTGCCAGTTAGCTCCTGTTTTTTGTTTTTTGACATTAGCCTACATTGTATTAAACAGTTGTAAGCTTAGCGTAGAATCCCAGTATATTTTAAAATGTCATTGCTTCGTGATAATTGGTTAAGTGTTAACGAGCTTGTTACTGAATTACATGACTGAAATATAAGCAGATAAAGTGGGATTTAGGGTAAAAACTGATGTAGGCTACTTGCAATATAGTCTAACACATCAAAAACCTATAGCAATAGCCAGTACTATAGACATTTGTAGTGAACTTTACTTTGAATATGTAGATAGTCATATATTAAAATAAAACATTGAGCACGCATACAGTACATAAGTTTACAGTATGCAATTAATCCTTAGGTAGGGTGGACTGCAGAGTCAAGTGTCATGGAGGTAGGAAGACACAATGAGAGAGACACACCCTGATACAGATGCTGCCAGTTTCTTAATAATGTGGCTCTAATTAACTATTAATTAATTCTTAGGATAGGAGGAACCTGTGCATGTATGTCACACACACACACACACACACACACACACACACACACAGAGAGAGAGAGAGATCACACTCACACACATACTTTACATCACACACACACACACACACACACACACATGCACATGCAACACATACTAGAAACACTTCAGCATACTTTAATTCTCAAATAATTGTAAGGATTTACAGCTGATACTATTTATAGTTTTTGATATATATTCTATTCCCTTTTGTGCTATTATTACTTGTTTGTATTCATGTGTATTCCAATGTTGAGAGCAGTCAGTGAGAAGATATTTAGCTGTAATGTTTACATCCTATACTGTGTTCATTAACTAGGATGTTGTTGGAATCAGTACAGCCAGAGACCCCTGGTCTTCCAATACCAGTGCTGTGAGGAAGGATGCTACAGTAGGCCTAGCAGAGACAGGGAGGAGTATGGTAGAGGTAGGAAAAACCCAACAGACAGACGGTGACAACAAAGAACTACATACTGTAGAGAATGACAGTAACAGCAGACAAATGGCATAAACAGAAAGCACACAGACTCTACAACATCCTCAGATTCTTTTTCTTTTGTTTTTACTGTATGTGTAAATTTGTTATAAACGTGTGCTCTTTAAAAAGTAGTAAGCATTGTTTGCCAGACACATACATTAAATGTTTACATATCTGTTACATATATGGTACTGCTTATATTATTTCACCATCTGTACACATATGTAAGTAGTGAATGCGTGTGTCCGTGGGTGGGGCTGTGTTGATGTGGTAATGTGGGCCGGTGTGGCTACAGTGCCAGGGCTGAATTTTTGTCCCAGTCCGCCCCTGGTGGCAGCCTACATTCTGTTTTGCTGTGAGTAGGAGGCCAGCTGAAAACAATATAATGGAATTTTGTAATGAATGTTTTTACTTTGCAATGCATATAAAAGGATGAATGCTGCATTAATAAGTTTAATGACTTCCTTTTCTGGGAAAGAGCAATGGTGATAACACAGGACAACTATGGGCCAATGTGCTAATTGGCAAAGGTGTCTTTACATTATCTCCCTAGCTCTAGCAGCAAAAATATAAATAAATAAATGCATAAAAATAAAAATACACATACAGTTTTTTTTCACAGAATGCAGCTATGCAGCATATAGAATAAGGCCTAAAAAAGAGAAGACAACCATTCTGAAAAACTGGTGTCACTGAGGCATGAAATAGCTCCTTTCCCCCTCTTGTGCAGAAGTGAAATTTGCC